TAGCTTGACCAGCCTGGTTAAGGCTGGACATAGCTGGTTTTGGCTGGACTCCCATCCTGGCTAGGTTGGTTTTAGCTGGTCATCTCCCAGCCTGATCAGCTAAGACCAGGCTGTAAATGGCTGGAAACCAGCCTGGAAGTGGCCAAAACCTCTCTAAAACCAGCCTGGTCGACCAGCTAAAACCAGCCAATCAGCCTAGGCTGGTTTAAGCTGTTTTTTTCGGTAGGGTACCCTAGTGAACCCTTTAAATGTCACTTTAAGCTGAACACTAGTGTCTTGAAGAATATCTAGTCTAATATTAGGTGCTGTCATCATGGAGAAGAGAAAATAAATCAGTGATTAGAAATGAGTTATTAAAACTATCATGGTTTAGAAATGTTGAAAATATACATTGTGGGCTAATAAATCTGATGTTTTGAATGTGCGCCCTCTAGTGGTGATGTAATGCTTAGTGTAGTTTGTGTTTTCCTCCAGATTTCTCTGTGTCACTTCTTTTTCAACATCGCTGGTATCCTGCTGTGGTACCCCATCCCCTTCACACGTGTGCCCATCCGACTGGCCAAAGCGCTGGGCAACCGTACAGCTAAATACCGCTGGTTTGCGGGCCTGTATCTCATTCTCTGCTTTCTGCTGTTTCCGTTGACCGTCCTGGGACTCTCCATTGCAGGATGGCAGGTCCTGGTGGGCGTCGGGGTGCCAGTGTTGGTGCTCGCCATCTTTGTGATTGTGGTGAACGTCATGCAGAAACGATGCCCTCGCTTTCTGCCCTCGTTCATCCGCAGTTGGGAGTTTCTGCCCAAACCGCTGCACTCCCTGAAGCCCTGGGACCGAGTGGTGACTGCGGGAATGAGCTTCTGCAGGACTCGCTGCTGCTGCTGCTGTAAATGCTGCAGAAATGAAGAGAAAAACCACGTGGAGAACAACGACAGGAGCCTGGAGATGTATGACAACCCAGCACTCGCTATAGAGGACGAGGCTAAAGTGACTGCTACACATTTATAATGCTACATGGACTCCATTTTAATTTATGCAAGTCGTGTTTTGATGATCGCAGGGTGAAGCACCATGACTTTTTAAGCTGCTATTGGTTTTTAGTTTGGTTATAATGCTGCATTGAGATGCCTTGTTGAGATTAGAGCGATGGCGAAACAACATCGTTTGAGAAATCGGTTCTGCATCAAATCTGAGTTTCTCAAATTGCATTGCGACTCGGATCGAATCGGAGGTTAGTTTTTAAAAGCAGATGGTGCTGTGTGCAGCTGTTAAACACCAGCCTAGAGCGCCATCAGCTGTTAAACACCAGCCTAAAGTGCTGTTAAACACCAGCCTAGAGCTCCATCTAATGTTTATCACCAACCTAGAGCTCTATCTGCTCTTAAACACCAGCCAAGATCGTTGTCTACTTTTCAACACCAGTCTAGAGCGCCATCTGCCATTAAACACTAGCCTAGAGCGCCATCTGCTGTTTAACACCATCCTAGAGCGCCGTCATCTGTTTAACACCAGTCTAGAGCGCCATCTACTGTTCAACACCAGTCTAGAGCACCATCTGCTGTTTAACACCAGCCTAAAGTGCTGTTAAACACTAGCCTAGAGCTCAATCTTATGTTTATCACCAACCTAGAGCTCTATCAGCTCTTAAACACCAGCCTAGATCGTCGTCTGCTGTTCAACACCAGTCTAGAGCACCATCTGCTGTTTAACACCAGCCTAGAGCGCCGTCATCGGTTTAACACCGGCCTAGAGCGCCATCTGCCATTAAACACTAGCCTAGAGCGCCATCTGCTGTTTAACACCATCCTAGAGCGCCGTCATCTGTTTAACACCAGTCTAGAGCGCCATCTACTGTTCAACACCAGTCTAGAGCACCATCTGCTGTTTAACACCAGCCTAGAGCGCCGTCATCGGTTTAACACCAGCCTAGAGCGCCATCTGCCGTTTAACACCAGCCTAGAGCGCCATCTGCCGTTTAACACCAGCCTAGAGCGCCATCTGCCGTTTAACACCAGCCTAAAGCGCCATCTGCCGTTTAACACCAGCCTAGAGCGCCATCTGCCGTTTAACACCAGCCTAGAGCGCCGTCTGCCGTTTAACACCAGCCTAGAGCGCCATCTGCCGTTTAACACCGGCCTAGAGCGCCGTCATCGGTTTAACACCGGCCTAGAGCGCCGTCTGCCGTTTAACACCAGCCTAGAGCGCCATCTGCCGTTTAACACCGGCCTAGAGCGCCGTCTGCCGTTTAACACCGGCCTAGAGCGCCGTCTGCCGTTTAACACCGGCCTAGAGCGCCGTCTGCCGTTTAACACCGGCCTAGAGCGCCGTCTGCCGTTTAACACCGGCCTAGAGCGCCGTCTGCCGTTTAACACCGGCCTAGAGCGCCATCTGCCGTTTAACACCGGCCTAGAGCGCCATCTGCCGTTTAACACCGGCCTAGAGCGCCATCTGCCGTTTAACACCGGCCTAGAGCGCCATCTGCCGTTTAACACCGGCCTAGAGCGCCATCTGCCGTTTAACACCGGCCTAGAGCGCCATCTGCCGTTTAACACCGGCCTAGAGCGCCATCTGCCGTTTAACACCGGCCTAGAGCGCCATCTGCCGTTTAACACCGGCCTAGAGCGCCATCTGCCGTTTAACACCGGCCTAGAGCGCCGTCATCGGTTTAACACCGGCCTAAAGCGCCGTCTGCCGTTTCACACCAGCCTAGAGCGCCGTCTGCCATTTAACACAAGCCTAGAGCGCCGTTTAACACCAGCCTAGAGCGTCATCTGCTGTTTAACACAGCAGGAGATTCAGGAGAGAATAGTTTTTTGTTGTTGTTGTTGTTATTGAAATCTTATTATTTGGTGCAGAGTCGATTTCATGAATAGTTTTTCACCACCGCTCTCTTTTGGATTATGCAGATGACTTGATTATACTTGAAGCATTACACATCGCTAGTTAGAGATTGGGGCTTTATGTGCAAATGCATTTATGACTGTAGTTTTATAGTCCCTGCAAAGTCAGTGGCCGTTTCTCAATTCCAAGAATGCAGAGAACAGACTTGAGTTCTAGTGACGATCAGTCTTGCCAGGTCACCTCGGAAGAATGAACTCTGGAGAGAAATAAGAGGCTGCATGCGTTCTTCCTGATGGTCACATGACCTTAACGTGTTTTTAATGGAGAGTTGAGCGTTACAGCATTCATACAACAATTTGTTTTCCCACTTTTCACGATCTATATACTACACATTAAGACTATACAAATATACCTTGTGCAATATAAATTACTCAGATTTAATATGAATTTAAGCAAATAAACACCCTTAATGTGTTCATGCCTTTATTAAGATCGGCTTTTTTCAGCTCCATAGACTTTTTATTATTATTTTTTTTTACGAGTTGAAGTCTGCATTGAAGCATCCTCTGTATCAAGAGCACATCCGGGTACTTTCTCGCGTCCTCTGTTTTTGAGAAACAGCCAGTGACTTGGCCCACCGTCCTGTTTTTGCATCAGCACTGGGAAAGTCATGAGGTATTTGCAGTCAGCATGGTGTATATATCGTTTGTAAGGTGTAAATCCAAGTGAAACTGCTTGAACTAGAACAAATGTGGGGCGGGGCTTGATTTTTGTCCACTGGGAATTAGTTTGGACGTGTTGTGCTTCACTATTGGTGGATGTCACATGATTGACAGGTTGATCCTGCCTTCATTCCACCAATGCAAACTCTTGATCATTTTGCACATTATCTGGAACTATACAGAGATGTCTTTTAGTGTGTGTATATTGTTTTTGTGAATTACACATGTAGTTTAACCCCTTAACTGACACTACATGTCACTACACTAGTGTCTTTTTCACTACATATTTAATCAAATCTGTCTAAACCTGAACTTATCTTGATAAATTAGATAATGGAAACACTTCCTTGACAGTTAAGAGATTAAATATGTTGGTACTGTTGCATTTTTGTACATTTCATGAGTGTAAACGATGTAAGATACGGTCTCTGAATAAATATTTAATACTGTAAATGATTGTTTTCATCTCTGAAAAACAAATTGTGCAATGCAAGTCCTGATATCTTGCAGACCTACTTTATTTATTCCTTGTCAGTTTGTCCCTTATCGCTTTGCATTGTGAGTCAGAGGTGTGTGTGTGGTATTGTTTGTGTTCTCGTCTGCTTATCGGTATCTGTGGGCGAGTTTTAGAAATGTTGTCACAGGCCAAGTGAAGGTTATTTAATGACACACCAGCCACACACTCTGAACATGGTGTTTCTAATGAACAGCACACAGACTACATCACACACACTGAACCCGGAAAATAGATATACAGATACAAAGTACAGCTCCTAGACGTCTCATTTACCATCAAGTGTCTCAAAGCAAAACTCATTATCACAAAACAATAATATCATGAATTTACCCTATTAATGTGACAGACTTTGATCAATTCCCAATGATGATTCTCCTGTTATCCACCCAAAAGATACACTTCTGAAGGATTTTAAAGCAATGCGGAACTGATTAACTAAATTGGCCGTAATGTGTATATGTGTGAGAGAGAGAGAATATGTGTATGGGTATTTCCCAGTACAGGGTTGCAGCTGTAAGGGCATTCCGTTACATAAAACATACACTGGAATAGTTGGCAGTCCATTCCACTGTGGCGACCTGATGAATAAGGGACTAAGCCGATGTGCTGCAGTTCAAACTGAACATGGCATGGTTGTTGCTGCCAGACGGGCTGCTCTGAGTATTTCAGAAACTGCTGATCTACTGGGGTTTTCACGCACAACCATCTCTAGGGTTTACAGAGAATGCTCCGACACAGAGAAATATCCAGTGAGCGGCAGTTCTGTGGGCGCAAATGCCTTGTTGATGTCAGAGGAGAATGGCCAGACTGGTTCCAGTTGATAGAAAGGCAACAGTAACTCAAGTTTGCATGTTCTCCCCATGTTGGCGTGGGTTTCCCCCCACAGTCCAAACACATGAGCAAAAGGGGAACTGATCAACTATATTGGCCTTAGTGTGTGTGAGAGAATGAGTGTGTATAAGTGTTTCCCAGTATTGGGTTGCAGCTGTAAGGGCATTCCACTACATAAAACATACGCTGGAATAGTTGGCAGTTCATTCCACTGTGGCGACCTGATGAATAAGGGACTGGGCTGAAGGAAAATAAGTGAATGTCTTGTTGATTGTGTGTGTATAATATAACCCTTACCACTAGGGGGAGTCCTGCTAATAAAACAGACTTCAGTTTGCTTTTAAATCCGGTTTTCCAGATGAGGCTGACGTGTCACAAGACATTTACTTGCATTAGAAACATTTGAGAGTAGTAACCTTAAGAGAGTAGATGACGGATTACTGTGAAAGTGACTGATGCTTTTATTCAGCGTCTTACAGTAGATTTACAGCGCTGCAGGGGCCTGAGGAGTGTGCTGATGTGTGTATAAGCTGAGCTTCAGAGCAGATGTGACATGAAGAGTGTAAAGACCACACACGCACACACTCCCGTCACCGTGATCAGTATCTCAGATGTGTGAAGGTCTGCAGGCTGCTGAACTGAGCTGCTCTGCGCTGGAGTGATGTCCTGCTCGTTAAATGCTGCTGCTCCAGCTCTCTCTGATGACCGGCTGGTGGACTGTGTGGCCGCAGAGTAACATGCTGATGGTGAAACAACAAATGAAAGTGTCATTAAGATCATGGCTGCAAAAACCCTACGCAGTTTTGTAATACATATGCATGATGCCTATTAATGTATCAGAGCAGAGTCTGACCAATCAGAGAAGAGGAGTCATCAGAGTAATCACAGCAGAGAAGGTTGCCGGTTTGAGCCCCAGCTGGCCTTTCTGTGTGGAGTTTGCATGTTCTCCTGTGTTGGTGTGAGTTTCCTCCGGGTGCTCCGGTTTCCCCCACAGTCCAAACACATGCAGTACAGGTGAATTGGGTTGGCTAAATTAGCCGTAGTGTATGTGTGTGAATGTAAGAGTGTGTGGCTGTTTCCCAGTGACGGGTTGTAGCTAGAAGGGCATCCGCTGCGTAACGCCTTATTCACACGGGGCTTCAGCGTCAATGCTTGACTGAAGGCGTGTCTGAAGTTGGGGCTGATGCAATCGTCATAGCAGCGTCAGCCAATGAAATTAGTCAGCTATAGGCCACTGTCTGAGCGGGTGTATTTGCATACAGCGATCTGATTGGCTGACGCTTCTGTCGGCACTTGAAAAGTTGAGCAAGTCCCAACTTCTGCAGTGAGCAACGCCTCTAAAGCGGCGCCGACGGATTTGAAGCTGATGCCCCGTGTGAATGGGGCGCCAAACATATGCTAATAAGTTGGCGGTTCATTCCGCTGTGGTAATAAAGGGACTAAGCTGAAAAGAAAATGAATGAATGAATGTATTGCAGAGGAATGAAATATTGCAATGTCGTTTCCCAATATCGTGCAGCCCGAATCACCTGATCCTGCATTTTTTATGTGGACAAACGGCGAAAACAGATACCCGTGTTCATGTGGACAGGGCCTAAAAGCGATTTTGGATGTTTTACCATAAAGAGTTCGTAACAGCAGAGTAAACATGAAGATGAGGAGAGTGGCTGAAATCCCGCAGATCAGCGTCATCTGAACAGAGCTGCGTGTGAAGTCCGTCCACGCTCCACTCAGCTGGATCCACCACAGCAGAAGAGAACACGCCGTCACATCGCCCTCCTCAAACTCCCTGCATCTACACACACAGCACCATCATCATGAGGAGACTTGTATTGGGAGGAAACTGCATTTAACCCTTGTGTTAGACTAAGCTGAAGGAAAATGAATGAATGAATCTTCCTGTACTATTCTGACTGTATGACAGAGTAGAAAACCCAAACCTGTGTAGCAGACGCCCCACAACATCGCTGCGGTTCCCATCTGCTGAAGAGATTCCCATCTGATCCAGAATGGTGTCAGGAACTTCATAACCCTCCTCAATTAACAAGACCAGGTTAAAGAGACCCTGAAAATCACACAATGTTTGTTATTATAGTTATTATATTAATGTTACAGGTCACACTTTACAAAAAGGTTTCATGAGTTAATGTGAACTAATAATGAACAGTACTTAGTTCAACATTTACTAATGCATTATTAACGTCCAAATTCACACTTCATAACATTAGTTAACGCACAGAGTTAACATATGTAACGGAGGCCAGCTAGTGAGTGCTGTGCAGGTAAACCTCACTCCTCTGACCTCTAAAGGTGCTCTAGCGACAGATGCTAGAGACCATGGTCTTAAGCAGCCTCCCATGCGGAAGGTCGCTGGTTTGATCCCAGCTCGGAGCGGGTTGGGTGGCGTAAGACTGGTGGGGTTTCATTGGTGTCGTGACCCGGATTGGAGTGAGGTTTAGGGGGGTGAGTGTAACGGAGGCCAGCTAGTGAGTGCTGTGGAGGTAAACCTCACTCCTCTGACCTCTAATGGTGCTTTAGCGACAGACACTAGAGGCCATGGTCTTTAGCCTCCTTGTTAGAGCAACTGACTCCCATGGGGAAGGTCGCCGGATCAATCCCAGCTCGCAGCAGGTTGGGTGGTGTAGGAGCGGTGGGGTAACACATAGACAAACAATGCATGACTTTATTACAATTGTAATGTAACGTAATGTGTATTTATATAGTGCATGTATTGTGTATGGCCATACACCCAAAGCGCTTCACAATCATGAGGGGGGTCTCTCCACACCACCACCAGTGTGCAGCTCCACTTGGATGATGCGACGGCTGCTACAGGACAATGGCGCCAGTGCGCTCACTAAACACCAGCTATTGGTGGAGTGGATAGAGACAATTCGGTGAAAGGGGATGATTTTGAGGCCATGATCGTATGGGCTGATCTAGAGGGACTTTGGCCAGGACACCGGGGTTACACCCCTGCTCTTTCACGAGAAGTGCCATGGGATTATTAATGACCACAGAGAGTCAGGACCTCGGTTTAACGTCTCATCCGAAAGACGGCGCCCACTGACAGTATAGTGTCCCCTTCACTATACTGGGGCATTAGGACTCACATAGACCTCAGGTTGAGCGCCCCCTGCTGGCCTCACTAACACCACTTCCAACAGCAACCTAGTGTTCCCATGTGGTCTCCCATCCAGGTACTGACCAGGCTCAGCCCTGCTTAGCTTCAGTGAGTAACCGGTCTTGGGCTGCAGGGTGATATGGCTTCTAACATACATAAATAAACACTGTAGTAAATGTATTGTTTATTGTTTGTTCCTGTTAGTAAATGCATTAACTAATGCAACAGTATTGTAGAGTGTTCCCATGTTATACTTACTGGCATGAACATCAAAATAAAGATTAAATTGGCTAATTTTTTGAGGGTGGGATCACAAAAAAAGCATTCAGAGGTAAATCTGTATGTCATGTCTGGCTTGCTGTATTGTTGTTCTCTTGTTTTTGCATTCCTCTATGTGTCTTTGGTGCTGTAGTGTAAAAATGTAAAGCAGTTCTGCCCTGCAGTATAACACTGTGTCCTGAAAACACTTAAGCACACAAGCCGGACTCAAACCCCATCATCGCGCTCAACAACTCTCCATGTCACAAGTCTGCCGATGTACATGGCGAGCCACTGGACAAACTGGTAACAGCGGAAAAGCTATACATACGGAGGTAAGCGGTCTACCTTTTTAAGTTTATGTTGATTCCTTACATTGTAGGGACCAAATGTCCCCACAAGTATAGCAATACTAGTAAATCTTTACCTCATGGGGACATTTTATTGGTCTCCATGAAGAAAATGGCTCATAAATCAGACAGAATGAAGTGTTTTGAATGTAGAAATGAATATTGTTTTCTGTAAGGGTTGGGTTTAGGGGTATAGGTATAGAATATACAGTCTATTCATTCATTCATTTTCTTGTCAGCTTTGTCCTTTTATTAATCTGGGGTCGCCACAGCGGAATGAACTGCCAACTTATACAGCACATTTTTTTACACAGCGGATGCCCTTCCAGCCGCAACCCATCTCTGGGAAACATCCACACACACACCCATACACTACGGACAATTTAGCCTACCCAATTCACCTGTACCGCATGTCTTTGGACTGTGGGGGAAACCAGAGCACCCGGAGGAAACCCACGCGAAGCTAGGGAGAACATGCAAACTCCACACAGAAACACCAACTGAGCCGAGGATCGAACCAGTGATCCAGCAACCTTAGTGCTGTGAGGCGACAGCAATACCTACTGCACCACTGCGTCGCCATATACAGCCTATACCAGGACTGCTCAACCCTGTTCCTGGAGATCTACCTTCCTGCAAAGTTCAGCTCCAACATTGATCAAACACACCTGAACCAATTAAATAGAATCTGAAAAGCACTTAATAATTACAGGCAGGTGTGTTTGATATGGGTTGCAATTGAAATCTGCGGGAAGGTGGCTCTCCAGGAACAGGATTGAGCACCCCTGGCCTATACAGTATAAAAATCATCACGTCTATAGTAAGTCCTCATAAAGATAGCTGTTCAAAATTGTGTGTGTGTTCACCTGAGGACTGCCATGTAATGCTGCTGTACTGTACATGTCAATGGCCTTCAGCATATCAGCCTGTTTACTGTAATAATCTCCCATCTGCAGCAAACCTGCAGGAAACAGAGAAACGGGAACAGTTGAAAAGCAGGAGGACAGCTCTTACTGACAACATATATAAGGTGAAATATGAGATTATGAAGCAAACTGAGGTCAAAGTGCCCACCTGCTTCCTGAGGGATGTGGTTGTAGGTGGAGTAGTTGTGATACCTCCACTGACAGGCAGAACTGTGGCCTAATAGCTGGAAACACACACACACACACACACACACACACACACACGATACAGCGGTGTTATGAAGATAAAGGTTTGTGTCGTGATCTGAAGATTTTGATATTGTTTTGCTGGCAGATGTTCAGACCTCACACAGATGGGCAGCATTGTGCTGTGCCACACCAAGACCAGTTTCTGCTAGCATGGCATACTTCAGCAACGCCTCATCCCTTCATCAACAAACGACACAAACACACTTTTAGAAATCTGCCATTTGAGGACAAAGAGGGGTTGATGGCAAGATGAATGGATGAGGGGAAGATGAATAGATGGAAAGATGAATGACATAAAAAAAGATAGATGGCAAGATGAATGGATGAGGGGAAGGGGGAAAATGGAAAGATGAATGGCTGAGAGAAAGAGATAGATGGCAAGATGAATGGATGAGGGGAAGAGGGATAGATGGGAAGATGAATGACTGAGAAAAAGATATTTGGAAAAATGAATGGATGAGGGGACGAGAGATGGATGGAAGGAAGAATGGAACGATGAATGGCTGAGGGAAAGAGAGATGGATGGAAGGAAGAATGGAACGATGAATGGCTGAGGGAAAGAGAGATGGATGGAAGGAAGAATGGAACGATGAATGGCTGAGGGAAAGAAAGATGGACGGAAGGAAAAATGGAACGATGAATGGCTGAGGTAAAGAAGGATGGAAGGAAGGAAGAATGGAACGATGAATGGCTGAGGGAAAGAGAGATGGATGGAAGGAAGAAAGGAACGATGAATGGCTGAGGGAAAGAGAGATGGATGGAAGGAAGAATGGAAAGATGAATGGCTGAGGGAAAGAGAGATGGATGGAAGGAAGAATGGAACGATGAATGGCTGAGGGAAAGAGAGATGGATGGAAGGAAGAATGGAAAGATGAATGGCTGAGGGAAAGAAGGATGGAAGGAAGGAAGAATGGAACGATGAATGGCTGAGGGAAAGAGAGATGGATGGAAGGAAGAAAGGAACGATGAATGGCTGAGGGAAAGAGAGATGGATGGAAGGAAGAATGGAAAGATGAATGGCTGAGGGAAAGAGAGATGGATGGAAGGAAGAATGGAACGATGAATGGCTGAGGGAAAGAGATGGATGGAAGGAAGAATGGAAAGATGAATGGCTGAGGGAAAGAGAGATGGATGGAAGGAAGAAAGGAACGATGAATGGCTGAGGGAAAGAGAGATGGATGGAAGGAAGAATGGAACGATGAATGGCCGAGGGAAAGAGAGATGGATGGAAGGAAGAATGGAACGATGAATGGCCGAGGGAAAGAGAGATGGATGGAAGGAAGAATGGAACGATGAATGGCTGAGGGAAAGAGATAGATGGAAGGAAGAATGGAACGATGAATGGCTGAGGGAAAGAGAGATGAATGGAAGGAAGAATGGAACGATGAATGGCTGAGGGAAAGAGAGATGGATGGATGGAAGGAAGAATGGAACGATGAATGGCTGAGGGAAAGAGAGATGGATGGAAGGAAGAATGGAACGATGAATGGCTGAGGGAAAGAGAGATGGATGGAAGGAAGAATGGAACGATGAATGGCTGAGGGAAAGAGAGATGGATGGAAGGAAGAATGGAACGATGAATGGCCGAGGGAAAGAGAGATGGATGGAAGGAAGAATGGAACGATGAATGGCTGAGGGAAAGAGAGATGGATGGAAGGAAGAATGGAAAGATGAATGGCTGAGGGAAAGAGAGATGGATGGAAGGAAGAATGGAACGATGAATGGCTGAGGGAAAGAGATGGATGGAAGGAAGAATGGAAAGATGAATGGCTGAGGGAAAGAGAGATGGATGGAAGGAAGAATGGAACGATAAATGGCTGAGGAAAAGAGAGATGGATGGAAGAATGGAACAATGAATGGCTGAGGGAAAGAGATGGATGGAAGAATGGAACGATGAATGGCTGAGGGACAGAGAGATAGGTGGGAATTAATGCAGGGATGGATGGAGGGAAGATTGGCTGGTTGAGGAAGGGATGATTGGTTGAGGGGTTGGAATGGATTGGATGGACGGATGGAACATTAATGCAGAGGGGGAAAAGATAGAGGGAAGAGAGAATGGATGTTTGATGGATGAGGAGGAGGATGGATTTAGGAACGAAGCGATTGACAAAAATATGGATTGAGGGATAGAGGAAGGAGTGGGTGGAGAAATGAAGATGGATGAATAGACGAAGGAA